CAGTGCATGAAGGTTCCACTTTCTCCATATCCTTTTCAAAACTTGTTCATCTGTTTATTGAAGTCCTCCTACTGGGCATGATGTGGCTCCTCACTGTGGGTTTGATTTGCATTTCCTTAATGACTAGTGACATTGAGCGTCTTTTCATGTGCTCCTTGGCCATGTATATGTGATTTGGAGAAGTGACTGTCAAAGCCTTTGCTGGTTTTTAAGTTAGGTTGTCTTTTTATTATTTAGTTGTCAGGATTCTTATATTCTGGATAGAAATCCCTCATTGATAGGTGATTTGCAAATATTTATTCCATTCCATTGGGTTTTCATTTTCGTGATGGTATTCTTTGAAACATCAACATTTTTAATTTTGATGAAGTTCAGTTTATCCTTTTTTTGGGGGGGTGTCACTTTTGTTTTGGTGTCATATTCAAGAAACCTTTGCCTAATGCATGTCTTGACAATGTGCTCCTCTGTGTTCTTACAAGAGTTTTATAGTTCTAGCTTTCACATTTAGATCTTGATCCATTTTGAGTTAGTTTTTGTTAATGATGTAAGGTAGGGGTCTGTATTCACTCTTTGGCATGAAGATAGCCCATTGTCCTGGCATCGTTTATTGAATGTATTAGCAACCTTGTTAAAAATCACTTGGCGCCTGGGTGGCTCAGTGATCCACCTGTGGTTTTGGCTCAGTTCATGTGATCTGGTGGTTTTGTGAGTTAAAGCCCCACATGGACTCTGTGCTGACAGCGAGGAGCCTGCTTCAGAGTCTGTCTCCCTCTGCTGCCCCTCCCCTACTTGGGCTGTCTCTCTCAAAATAAATAGGTAAACTAAAAAAAAATTAAAAATATGTTAAAAAGATCACTTGACCATAAATGTAAAAGTTTATTCCTAGACTCTGCATTCTATTTTGTTGATCACCGTTGACTTTTATTTTATTATTATTTTAAAATTTTTATTCCTTTTTTTAATTCCAGTATAGTTAACATACAGTGTTATATTACTTTCAAGTGTACACTATAGTGGTTCAACAATTCTCTACATTACTCAGTGCTCATCAAGATAAGTGTACTCTTAATCTTCACCTATTTCACCCGTTCCCCTGCCCACCTCCTCCCTGGTAACCATCTTTTTGTTCTCTGTAGTTAAGAGTCTGTTTTGGGGATCATCATTGATTTTTAAGAAGAAAAACAATTCAGTCACGTTTGCTTGCTGTCCCCCCCACTACCACACTCATCTGAGCCTTCCATGACCTGTACTTCATTATTCAGCCTATTTTGAGTAGAGCTGCTAGTTGAATACTTTTAAAAAGCAGTGCTTTCATCACGTTGCTGCTCGTAAGGCCATTGGCATCCTACCAAGATTGCATGTGAACTAAACTTTGCCTGCTTTTTGATCTCCCTCAGCCAGCCCTACACAGGCTCCATAGTTATTTCTCTCTGTTTCTAAATTCAAATCCTCTTCTAATCAATCCTGTTTCTTAGTCAGGTATCTTGTCCTCATTCATACCTCATGCCTTGATTCTCCACATTCAGTTCCCTTCCCAGTTTAAAATTTAACACTTCCTCAGCATAATTAGAGGCTTTAATAACAGGTTGAGGTACACTGATCTCCTTCAGATATGGTTTCTTAGAAGAATCACTTCTCTGTCATTCATTTGGCCACTTAATGCATGACCCAGTTCTGGTTCCTCCCGCACCTGTTACATTCAGGGTCCTGGGCTGGGAGCTGCCTTCAGTTGTTTTGTAACTATTTTATTTTTATAGAGCTTTTCTTCCCATACATTGTATAAACTCTTTAAGAGTATGAGACATTTTATAATCCTTTCACAGGGCTGATACGAATTTATTTTTAGCATATAAGTGTCTTTCATCTTTTAATCAAAACCTTTGGGGACCAGATTTTAGAAAGGTTTAAGCTGCATGTCCCCTGGTACTTAACAGCCCTATAGCACTCTGTTACAACATACATTAAAATATTTCCTATTACTCATATTCTGCAGTGGGGTGTAGGACAGGATCCCATGTTTAAAGATTGCTTTTTCTGTAGCAAAAAGAGAGTATCTACCCTGAATGTGACAGACTATAAGTAGTCTCATATCAGTTCAGGTCAGGTGTGATTTTGCTGCCGAATGGGTTACAGTAAAACAGTTTGAGTAGAGTTTCGGGTTTCAGAATCATGGGTAATGGATTGTGGAGCAACACGGACTCTACATGTACAGTGTGAATGCAGAGTGTGTGATTGCAGAGCGGGGAAGTGCCGTCTCTAATGTGCGAGGCCCTGGGCCAGTCTGGACTTCCTCCTTGACTCTTAGCAGCAGCCTTTTCCTCCCACCCGTTTGTCCTCTGACCAATTTGCTCATGTCACTCCTCTGTTCCCCAGCCCCTGGTGTTTTGCCATTTTTTGTCCACAGTGTGCTTGCGGGAAGAAGCCACATATTCCTAAAGTCTCAAGATGATTGCAGAAAGGATATAATAGTAATTCATTGAGTGTTAAGCTTGGGAAGCAGTCACTTTTCTTTTTCCTGCACTACCTTCTCTGCAGGGAACACCGTGAGGGACCAGTGACATGGAGGGGGCATCAGGGGGTGGCATACAGCCATCTGGATGGACTCTTGGCCAGGCATCCAGGTCTGGGCCTGGATGAAGTTCAGCAATCTTGGCCTGCAGAGAGGTTTCAGACTCATTCAAGACCTTCTGTAATCTGGCTCCATACTAACTTTGTCAGTTTAATGAGTCACCATTCCTCAGTTTGAGATTTTATATATACATATTTTTTTCTGTGTAAACTTGCCTGTTGAGCAGGGGAAGGGCAGAGAGAGAAGGAGACACTGAATCTGAAGCAAGCCCCCAGGCTCTGAGCTGGCTGTCAGCACAGAGGCCGACATGGGGCTTGAACCTACAGACCATGAGATCATGCCCTGAACCAAAGTTGGACGCTTAAACAACTGAGCCTCTCAACATTTCTGTTATGTATGTAATTTTACAACATCATAGTGATAGACTGGGCAGTATTCTGAAACTGGAATTGGACATGTCTTGTCTAGAAACCCATAGTTTTTGTTTTGTGTCGTGTTTTAAAATAACTGCTATTTTTTCACATGCCCTGATGGCTGGTGACCTTGCCAAAAGGAAGCCACATTAGATACGCCATATTTATTTTGAGACGCGCAAGATAAGAACCAGGAATCCTCGAATGTTGGAGCTGGAAGGAACATTGCTAGCATCATGTTTTATAGATCAGGAAACAATCGGCTAAAGGTACACAGCTAGATAGTGATAGAAGCAGAACTCTATTTTTCTTGAAAATTTGCAACTTTGTTTTCTCTGCTTGGTTGCTTGATGTTAGAGCTAAAATTCTCAGTTGATTTTTTTTCTCATCTTCTAAGTAAATTTAATACTCTTTCTGGATTTGGAAAGCCTCTGTCTACCTGGTTTCAACCCACAGAAGTGAAACAAAATCATTTTGCTTCTTGCTGTTACCTTGGCAAAACTATGTTTTCACAAGGTGTATCTAATTAATCAAATGATTAGAAAATGGTCTGTGATTAGATCGAGGAGAGCCTCATTTATGCTTAATTTACTAACAACAAACCAATTTAAATTGTGCTTTTGGTGTTTAAAGCTCAGCAAGGCTGTGTTTTGTTTCCCTATATGTATCTCCGACTCGAAGACAAGGTTAGATCACACCATTTAGAACTGATGGTGTTACGTGCCACGCTTTTTCTGTTAACCTCCGTTGAGTAGGAGCAAAACTGATTAAAGAAAATGATGGCGAAAAAATCCAGATGCCAGTTTGAATTTATGAAATTAGGCGTCCCATTGGACATTCTTAATTATTGGAGGGAAAAAGCCCAGGGCGTTGCAGACCATCACTGGAGTTCAGAGTTTAAGGAGCTTTGGTTCTTTTGTTGGAAATGGAGTGCTTTAGGTTTTCATGAAACGGTTTTTGTTCAGGAAAAGAGTCACCCAGTGGCATACGCAGTTATAGTTCTCTAAAAGCCATGCTTCGGGGCGCCTGGATGCTCAGTCAGTTAAGCGTCCGAATTTGGCTCAGGTCATGATCTCACGGTTCGTGGGTTGGAGCCCTGCGTCAGGCTCTGTGCTGACAGCTCACAGCCTGGAGCCTGTTTCAGATTCTGTATCTCCCTTTCTCTCTGACCCTCCCTGCTCATGCTGTCTCTCTCTCAGAAATAAATTAAAAAACATTAAAAAAAAAAAATGAATAAGAGCCATGCCTCTCTCTCCTCCCTGAGTAAGAGCTGGTTAGGGAACCTCTACTTCCACAGGAGGTAAGTGCTCTGCCTGTTAGGTCCCAGCCAGGCCCAGGGCTAAGCCAGGTGCTCCCTCATGGGCCCAGGGCTAAGCCAGGTGCCCTCTTGGTTATATGTCAGAGTTTCCTGTGCTTTTCTCTCCTGATACATTTTTGGTTTGAGCGTGAATCTAATTTAGGTTGTCCTGTGTTTCTTTGTTGTGAATGACCTTGAAAAAAAACCCTTCCCTGTCCTGCGCCTCACATTCCACTTGAAATAAGAGGTTGAACCGTGAAAATCTCTTTATTTTCTAAGATCCTACCATTTAGCTGAGTACTTTTTTTAAATCCGATATTTTTTATTTGATGTAACAAGAAGTACCAATACTTAAAACCAAAGAAGAAAGAAAGACAAAAAGCAAGTTGCTTTTAGCAACAGAATTATCACTTTACCTTGGGTTTCCAGAACTGACAGTCAGGTATTTATGGGAGTTGTGAGGGGACAGGGAGATTCTAGGGGAGATTTGCTCAGTTCTACCGTTCATTCTCACTTCTGTATGCTCCTTAACCTTTTGGGAGAGTATTTCTACGTTTATTTTACAGAAGGGAACCGAATCCCACGCTGCCTAGACCTCGGCCGGACACTGGGGTCTTTAACTGTCCTCAGCTCCTTAGACTGTTGTCTGCATAGTTTGGTTTGGTATCAGGTGGCACAGAACTTGGTGTCCAGTGTAACTCTTCCTGTTCTGTTCTTTCAGCTTGGATTTACTTTTGGCAACGTGGTTGGAATGTATCTGGCCCAGAACTATGACGTAAGTGACTGTATCCGTGTCCTCCCCGACTCCATGTCACTATTTTGTAGTGACTTGTCTTTGTTGAAGTCAGGTGTGCCTTCCAGCGTAAGTGAAGTCCATAGACCTGAGGAAAATGCCCTGAATTTTGAAGAAAGATTTTCTATTGTTTGAAAAAACCACGTCACAGGAGCTTCTGTCCTCCACTTGACCACAAGAGGGCAGAACCCCACCAGTTTGGATGGTCGTGTGACCTGAGCCGGGCCCGTTGGCCCGGAGTAATTAGCCACTGAGTGAGTCTCCTTACAGCTCTGTGGACAATTACGTGATAGATGGGAATTCAAAGACTAAGTCTTTTCAGAGTTCTGTCAGCCTCATTTTACAGAAGGGGAAGTTGAAAAGCAGGTGACAAAACTGCCCATGAGTGGGGCCTCTGGAAAGGTTGTTTAAAAGAGGGGGAAGGGAAGGAAGAGGCGGGAAGAGGGAAGGAAGGCAAATATATTAACTTTTGATTTGTTTGTGTTGAAGCTTTTAGTGTGACAAAGGAAACTCTTTGTCAACCTTCACTTGAGTTACGTGGTTTTCTGTGCAGGAACTTTATTACTTTATATCACCCTCATAGTTCATATGCACAGCTTCTATTTGGCAGTGGATTGAGGTGCTCAGTGAGTATATAAAAGTAGAAGTGAGGATCTAGCTTCTAAAGAGGGAACATACTTCAGTTTACAGCTTCCGAGATCCTTCTTATGCAGCCCCAAGGCTAAGTCGCTTTCAGGGGAATATAAAGACTTAACAGCAACCCTTTATTGTTGGAGGAAGAAACGTAGAAGAATATCAGGTAGATGCAAAATTATAATCTTCTTTTTCTCTTTAAAGATCCCAAATCTGGCTAAAAAGCTTGAAGAAATTAAAAAGGACTTGGATGCCAAGAAGAAGCCCCCTAGTTCCTGAGGCGGCCTCCAGCACTGCCTTCTGGACACGCTGACTATGCAGTTCTGGAGGGCCTCCTTGTCGCCTGAACCAAAAGCTTTTGTGTTAAATTTCAGCCTCAGCAGTTTTCCTCTCCCGCTAGATCCTGTGTTTGCCTAGAGCAACAGATGGGGCTACAAATCCAGAACTACCCTTTTCCAACCTCCTCACCTCGTCCCTTCCTCCTCCCAGCCTCCTGGGGTGGCCTGAGACTGGAATTACGGTGCTAGATTAGTGAACGTGACTTTCATTAGTAGTCTCTCCTTTATTCCTTGGGATTTCTACTGTTTTCTAAGGAAAAATTGAGTTTTGTAGAGCTGATCAGATGTAAATAATGCTGATTTCACAGCCTAGCCATTATAATGGGTATGTAAACATTTGGTACTAAATTATGTTGTTTCAAAGTAATTAAAGTGCAGAAGCCACTTACTCCTGAATTATCCACTTACTTTATACAGTTATCAGGAGGCACTATAGCTGCTAATTTAATCATTAATCGATTTGCTACATTAGCTGAGAAACTATCCTGAGAACCCTGTCAGGAGCTAGGGAGTTTAAAACTATGTAAAATAATGGCCTTTATCCTCTGTGAAATTCAGTCAAGTATGCATGTTTTTCCATAATGATGTCTTTGATTTGGCACTTTCCCCTCAAAAGCATCTTATTTTAAGGGATCACAGGTGCATTTGATGTTACATGATGGATAAAAGACAAGTCTGTAAATGAAATTTTATGCCTTTTCACATTAAAAAATTATTTACATTGTAACTTTATAGTGATTCTCATAAGAAAACTTTGAAGGGTTTTTTTTGTTGGTGGTGGTTTTGTTTTTAGTTTTCTCCCTGCGATCAAAAGTCATCATTGTATGTTGACCCATAGGTGGAGACCTCTCTACGCCTCATTCGGCAGGGAGAAGCTACTGAAGATGAGACCTCCACCCAAATGGCAAAGATTTTCATTGTCGATGGGAGTGGGGGCCGGGGAGATAGAGGGCGCTTTTAGGCAACAGGCAATGGAAACCTGAGCGAGGCAGAAGGGCCCACAGTGACCTCACAAACAGGCTCATGAAGCCATAGGCCCTGACTGACCGATGGGCTACATACAGCGAGGCCGGGTTCTTAGGACTGCCCCAGAAGGGAGAATTTCATCTCCCTCTACTCCCTTACTCTGCCCTCTGACCGTAGCCCTTCGCCATCGCCTCGTGGCAGTCTGTCCTTTGCTGTCCTGCCTGCTGCTCCTGTGGTCTTTAAAAAAGAAAAGAAAGAAATCGCCACCGTAATTTGTCAAATGTATAATTAGTCCCTGTTTCTTTTAGTTAAGAAAATGTTTGGAAAAGTTGTTCACTTTTCCCATAGGTCAAGATACAAATGTGATTCAGGATAAAGGGCATCTCCTGCTCCTGTGCTTCAGCTCCTAGTTCCTCTTCCTCGAGGCGGGCGTGGTCAGCTTCCTGTATACTTTGAGAAAGATTCTGTGCCTAAACAAATACATGTATGTGTGGGGGGTGCGGGGGGAGGTTTTCACATATGATGTGCTGTACTGGGCTCACCCCTGGCCTGAAGTGGAGATCGTTCCATATCAGTATGTAAGAAACAAGGAACCCATTTCTGTTTTTTGACTCCATGAGATTCTACTGAATGGATATACCATAACTGTTACTGAGGAACATTAGTTTTCCTGTCTTTTGCTGTTACAGTGATAACCTTGAACCTAAAATTTTTATACATATCTGTGTGTGGTGTAGCTATAAGCTAAATCCCAAGTGTAATTTACACTCACTAGAGATAAAGTCTCATTTGATTGTGTGCTGTGTTTTAGGGGATTTGCTGGGCAGCTCACTGATCATGCATTTCTGAAGACATTTTAGCAGAATCAGTAAACTGGAAGAGTAATTTAGAGACACCTATATTCAGACAGTGATGACATTGGTACTATGTGATTATAAGACAAAAGGTTCTGCTTCTCTCTGAAAACGGGGATCTCTCATATGTGGGTGTAGGTTTTCTTGCCGGCAGCTCACCCTGGTGTGTGATACAGATGGTGTGATAACCGCACATTACGGTTTGACTTCACCCTAGCAGTGAGATCATGGGCAGGTGTCTTATCTTTCAGACACTGTCGTATTCTCTGTAAGATGTGGACACAATATCTACCTCATACGCTCACTCGAGAAACAGTTGAGATAATAATATATGTGATGTGTTACACAGTGCTTTGCAAATTGCGCAATAAATAATAGATATTGGTCCAAACACACTGCCTTTGGTCAGAATACTTCATTGTTCTGCAATTGCACTTAGAGCCAGTTCATGAACCATGAACAATTTGTCACTATTCTGTGGTCGCTTTCCTGGTTGCTGATGAAAGTCTACAATACCTACCTTGATCACACTTCCTGGCTCATGAGACTTGACCTTGAATGACTGAATTGTTAGCAGAATGAACTACAGCCTTGAAGGATAATGTGACCCCTTTTGAGGGTATTCAAAATGCCACAGGCTTAGTAAGGTTTCCAAAGAGGGCTTCCTCGTCACAGTCACGGTAGCATGACTGCTTGTGTGTGTGTGTGTGTGTGTGTGTGTGGTCTTCCAGAGTGGGCATGGGGGCAACTGAAATGTTAGATCAGGCCTCTCTGTATGACGCCTCTTACACCAAACACATTTGGATTTGTGGCTTCCCTCAGCAGTGACTCTTACCCTCGTTCACTGCTGGGCACCATCCAGCAAATCCACCCCTGCGTTCGCCTTCACCACATAAACGGCTCCGCAGTGACTACGGGCTGACTCAGTGGTCGCCGTCCCGACACCCTCTTCTAGTTAGGTTCGTGCAGCAGTGGAAAGGGGCTCAGAATTATAGGCAAGATTATCCTCATGAGCTAGAGGGGGAGCCCAGAACCATCACAGACGTTAGGGTGTAGTTGAAACTTTGTAATGTGGGTGAGGGTTGCAGCGACTGTGATTGTTGCCCGAGGAGTTCTGTTCCCTGAGTGTTTCGTAGGGACCCTTGCCTCACACACCATCAGAGGGAGGGGAAGAGCCACTGCAAGACGTACTCGTCTTTTCCTTTTAAAAATGTTTGAAAACTCCCGTCGATGTGATCTAAGAAAACTTGCCATACCTGATCGTAAAAAGGTTACTCACGTGTGCAAAGTAAGACTTCAGGACTGATGTTGGGAACTTCATAGAGACATTGAGACTGACAAGTTTATCCTTAAACCATAATCCTCCCAAACAGGGAGAGCCAAACCCAAGCAACCTTATTACATCATCACAAGGGGCTGTATGTAGTTCAGAAGTTGAAGTCTTTAGTAGACTTTTCTTCCAATTTGGTATGTGATGCAGTTAAGCAGGTTTAGAAGAACGATTTCATTTTTTCTAACCCATTTACTCCGTTTTGGTTTGTAGGACCGTAGAGAAAGTTACAATGTGTGGTTTCTCTCGTTGTCTGTGCGGACGGCTTCACAGGGCATATGTACACGTGTACGGAGCAGTACACTCCCTGGATACAAGGCTGGTGTTTGTTTTTCTGCTGAGTTCTGCCTTTTTAGTGCTTTTTCTGTTAGTCCCCCTGAAGGAAATCTACAGACTGTCCTGGAGCAAATGAGGCTTTTCTTAAACTGCCCGTCCTGGGCTGTGCATTTAGCATTTCCATTCCTTAACTCATGAATGAGTGCCTTTTTCCCTACTGACTATTAGGGCCTTGCGGAAGGCAACAGGGTGGCATAGGGAAACTATTTTGAGATCTTGCCTGGTGTTAATAGGGGAGTTTGTGACACTCAGACGTTCATGTTTAGTTTAGGCGTTTTCTAAATCTCCATGCACCATATTTCGTCAAGCACATTTTTTTCGCAAGGGCCTGGGAAACAACAGAACAGTGAGGTTTGAGGGAAAGGGCACTGGCTGGGGCATTGCTTGCACAACTTGCGTCGTGGGCCTGCACAGGTCGTTGCCCCTGGGGTAAGGCCTTGTGAAAGGTGCCGGGGCGGTTGCATCAGTTTTGCACGTGCGGTTGTGAAGGAAACGGGACAAGAAAGAGTCGCTGTGTAAACTGCGGGGCAGTTGTGCTGAGAACTCATTTAGTGAGGGCAGCGCAGGATGGGTTACATCCCGGTCTCGTGGTCTCTCTCGCCTTCGTGTTCTAATGGTTTGAACATCTTGCTATAGACTGAGAGTGATTCTAGTGTTTAGATGTACTTTTTCCCACATGGCCCCTAAATGCGAAACCAACTACGTTATTTAATATTCCGCTGGAGAAGCAGATCTCCCTGTTCTCACATCGGAGGGAAAAGTAGCCATATTTTATTTACTAAAAGGTGGTTCACGAGTCTTTGCGATGCAAATGCTAACTTAAAAGGTTGTATACCATGTACTTCATGGGGGACTTCGAGGAATTTCAAAGGCAATTTCCAAAGGCAGTTAAGCAAGTTTGATATATAATTGACTTGAAAATAAGTTGCAGCTAAGGGTCTTTATTTCTCAGTCATCTATAAAATGAGCTGGTGTAAGATGGTCACTGACTGCTTTCTTTTTAGTGTTGGGATATTAGAAGATAAAAGTCAAATTTTAATTTGTGCAAGAGACAAGACTACTCAGGAGAGCTGTTCGTGTCCACCAGTGATGACAAGGAGTTGTTAGTCGTTTCTGACCTCTCCTGTCCCTGGAATGAGCGGTCTCGGGTAGCCTGAACTCCAGTTTTGGGAGGGAACAGTGCTGCCCTTTCAAACGGTCAGTAGACCGGATTGAAGCACATGCTCTTTCTCGGCCAGTTGAGTGCTCTGGTTCCTGGAAGCTTCTGGAAGCTTCTGGCCGCATCTGCTGTGGAGAGTTGCACTCCTTTCCCTTTAGGAGCCAGTAAGCTGCGCAGATGCTCAACCATGGCCAGTAATTCCAAGTGAACTTAATTCTAAGTCCCCTCTTCTTTCTTTTTTTTACTTAGACTCCTAGAAGCTTACTGATTATTTGCACCTGTATCTCACTCTCTGACCCAGAGGCTTGGGGTCGAAGGTCTATAACTGACATTTGACACTCAGGCAGCCATGACAATACGGTGACACACTGACTTTTCTGAACATTTTATAGCGAAATAACTATGGAGATTCCATCCAAGCAGCCACAGTGCACATTACACTGGGATTTTATGTGGGCTCATTCGGTCTTTATTTTTTATCAGCAGTCACATGATGTGGCCAAAGCTTCTTAGGCGGAAGCAGTAATATCCGTGGTTAAATCCTGTCAGTTATGTGGTGGTCAGAGCATGCAGGCATTGACTGGCACAAAAGAAATTTTATAATTCACAGATACTTGATTGACTAAGGGAGCGACTTCACTGAGAAGTTATCGTCGTGGGGAACCTGCCCATGCTCTCAGTGATAACTTAAAGTCAAGTAAAACAGCGGAGTTTTCCTTTTCCAATAAGACTGACATAGCAAGTAACTGTTGGTAGAAATCAGAAATATGTAACGCCTACAAGCCAGGGGGATCGGAAGCCATATCCAGCCATCGAGCAAGGACAGCTGCCATGGAGACAATGGCCCGGTTTTCAGGAGGAAGAAGGAGACCTTGACTCCCAAAGTGCTTTTTCTCACAGGAAACATTTATTAAGTAGTTAGTTTACTATAACGTATGAGTTGTGCACAGACGTAAGACATGTTCTCTCCCCCCAAGGTGCTCGCTGTAGGCAGGGGCTGCTGTGTGAAGCCTTCCGCACTTGCCTTCCCAGCAACGAACTACTCATTACATCCAGAAGAAAGCCAGTCAGACACTGCTAATAGTACTGTGGTCTTAATGATAGTTTTGGCCTTTTTATTTTTTTAATGGTTTTTAATGTTTATTTTCAGGAGAGACAGATACCAAGCAGGGTAGGCCAGAGAGAGAGGGAGACACAGAATCTGAAGCAGGCTCCAGGCTCTGAGCTGTCAGCACAGAGCCCAACATGGGGCTCGAACTCACAAACTGCGAGATCGTGGCCTGAGCCGAAGTTGGACACTTAACCGACTGAGCCACTCAGGTGCCCCGGTTTTGGCCTTTTTAGTAAGACAGGTATGGAAGTTTTTTCTCCCTGCCAGCTCAACCAGTGCAGTGGCTTTGATGATTAGTGGGAAGCAAAGAGAGAGAGAGGTTCCCCCCACTCTCCTAAAGTAGAGAATTCCTATGAAACTTTTCGTAAGCCAGAATGACATAAAGCGAAGAAGTAATTATCATTCATTTATATGGAAAGACATTGGAGTGTTTCCAGACCTCCACCATAACTTAGGCTTTTCTGATACCTTAGGACACATCTTGCTGACGGGCACACACAGTAAATGGGCACACAGCACAGATGCAGCCCTCAGCTCTGGCAGTTTCCTGGGAGGCACCACTCCAATTGCTCAGGTTGTGCACTGCCCCTCGAAGGGCTCGCCGCAACACCACTGCTGAACACTAATTGCACTCTTCTCAGAAACCTGAAAATCCTCTTCAGATTTCCTCCGGTTAGCAAAAACAGGTACCCATATAGGTCTTTTGTAGAAGCAAAGTGGCGTCACCAGAACTTTTGAAAAGCCAGGGATATCTGTACTAATGTCAATGTGTCTTCTTCCTCTACTTCCTTTTCCTTTGACAAAGGGAACAGTACAAGCCTCTTTCTAGAGGGGAACACTGTTTCTTTATGGGACTTTGGTGCCAAGGGTAAAGAGAAGCCACTGAAGAGAGATGCTTAGAAGGGAATCCAAGTTGTGATAAAAGAGTACTGATTGCCAGCGAGAGGACTTGCCAAGATTGCCTTTTTGTGGTGAGAATTTAGGATAGAAACGCTGAGGAGAAAGTTCTGGGGGAAGATTTTCCTCCAAAAGAGGAGATGCGACTACACAGGTAGGATGGTTTTGGATTTCCCCTTCAACTCCTAAAGACGGGTTAAGATATTACAAATAACGTCAAAGCCAGTGAGGCTAGTTTGTGAGGCTCAGCCTCTGCTCTCAGAAAGGCCTGGAGACCCCGAGATACAGGAAAGGAGAACTCTCCCAGGTTTTGCTGGACTACGGTGCTAAGGAAGGAGGGCGGAGAAGAAGGCACTAACATCCAAGCATGCGTTCCGGCTGCCGGAGGCTTCCTGCTGTCACCTGAGGTGGCGGGTGCTGGAATCTTCCGGGGAGGTCTGTGTGCCCCTGGCGGCTTTCTCGGCCTGTTGGTCAGATTCTGGTAGGTGCTGGTGGCTCCTCGGGCTGGGCCGTCTGCCCGCTTGTGTTAGGCCTGATCCGTGATGTTACTGACCTCAGCCCAGGCTGGAAAAGTGTCCAAGTGGAAGAGGCTAACTCCCCATGTGTTGATGGCCACCATCACGATCACCAGGCCAATGACATTGACCCCCAGGCCAGCTTTCACCTGTAGGACACAGACCAAGCCCACCCGAGTCACTGAGCAGGCAACGGCACCGACCCCAGGTCCTCCGCGCCCCCACCCAAGCCGTGGCCCTAGCGTGTTGCAGTCGCCGCCTGGGATCTGCAGTGTCGCCTGGGAGGGTGTCTTGGGGCTGTGGAAGGCGGGTGCAGGCCGTTAGCACCGTCTCTGCTTGGGGCCGCCTGGGTGGCTCAGTCGGTTAAGCTTCCGACTTTGGCCCAGGTCATGATCTCATGGTTCGTGGGTTCGAGCCCTGTGTCGGGCTCTGTGCTGACTGCCAGCTCAGAGCCTGGATCCTGTTTCAGATTCTGTGTCTCCCTCTCTCTCTGACCCTCCCCTGCTCACGCTGTCTCTCTCTGTCTCTGTCTCTCTCTCTCACAGAAATAAATAAAAAGATAAAAAAAAAAAAAAAAGAACCGTCTCCGCATGTAGCGCCCTCACCCCCAGGCGGAGGCCCCGCAGGGGTGTGCTTGGACCACCAGGTCGCGTGTGCTAAGACCACAGCAAGCAGGGGCCCCACTACAGGGCGGGGACGTGCATGAAGGCAGCAGCTGCTCGGAGCCTTTGGCGAGCTCACACTAGGGGGCCCGGCAGCGGAGGCCCGACTCCACACAGCCTTCGCCACCGTTAACTGTTCTGGAAGGAACAGCTTCCGGAAGGCAGTGTGTGCGGGGTTCACCTGGAGAACCGGGCCGGCCGCCTCTGCTCCGCCTTCACGGGAAGGTGACACGGCCATGCTAGCGTTGCTTCTTTCCGCCGAGGGGCTGTCGCCTCCGCGCCTCCGCCCTCCCTCCCCTTTCCGCCACGGAACTGACCCTCGCAGGCCGGGGGGGGCGTGACGCGGAACTGACCCTCCAGGCTGAGGGGGGCGTGAGGCAGAACTGACCCTCCAGGCTGAGGGGGTGTGAGGCGGAACTGACCCTTGCAGGCTGAGGGGGGTGGGGGGGCGTGAGGCAGAACTGACCCTCGCAGGCTGAGGGGGGACTGACCCTCGCAGGCCGGGGG